ATTTTTCCTTTCTTTCTCTTGTTCCTGCCCCTCTTTCTCTTCTTCCTCTTATCCACTCTTATCTCCAATTCTCTAGTCTTTTCTTTCTGGGGACAGAGCAGAGGGAGAAGGAAAGAACAAACAGATCCTGTATATTACCTTTGGGACACCCTGTCTCTGGCTAGCCATTATCACTAACCAATTAGGGCTCTTTTTGGAGTCTCTGCCCACAATGTTCCTCAAGAGAGAAACATGCCTTGACAGATACACACAGTGATCTTGAAGAGTGAGGGTCAGTTACCAGGCTGACAGGAGGCAGGCTAAGGTGGGAGAGGAGAGCTGTCTGTCCCTGAAAGGGTAGGGCTTATTGTTAGTACCCACAGCATATAGGCCACCCTAACCTCTCAGAAGCAGCTTAGGAAGTTAGAGCTGACTAGGCCCAGCACTGAATCCATGCTTTCTGGCACTTAATTCAAAGCTCTGTTCTCCTGAGGTGCCCATCACATTAGTAAAGTCAGACTCTCAGGCAGGAACTTAAATTCATGATTCCAGCTCCCCAAATGCAGCAAAGCAGAATCTTTCCCAAGGTGCCTGCCTGTTGCTAGGAAGCTATGCTCTGATTCTGTGCCCCTCTCTTCAACTCTAATGGTGTGTGAACTGCTCTGCCAGGAACCCTTCAGTTTTATCCTTAAGACTCCCAGCATCCTCAAAGGGAAGTGAGAATCATCTCCCCGCTTCTGCCACCCCAATACTTCCCAGACATGAAACTGAGAAGTGAAAACCCAAGGGTCATTGTACTACCCCCTTTTTTATTGGAGTATACAATATACAACTACCACCCATGGCAGCTGCTGCCACAGAAGCTTTTTCATATCTCTCAGAACAGAACTGGCTTTAGCTCTATTGCAGGAAACTTGCCCCACCCAACTGTGGTTGGGAACACCTAAAACTAGCCTGCTGCCTCTCACCGTTCCTGTAGTGGGATTTTTGAAGGGGTGAGTGCCACATGCTTGGGCAGAGAAACTTGGTAGCTTACACTCTCCTCTATGGTTAGGAGAGAATTCTTAGTTGAGAAAGGCAACAGAAGAGGAAAGAGGGAGAGAAGGAGGAAGGAAGAGTTTGGGGGATCAAGGAGTGGAAATTGGGAAATTACTGTAGTCATGTGCTGCGTAAACACATTTTGGTCAGTGACAGACCACATAGACAACAGTGATACCCTAAGATTATATCACCTGGTGATGTTGCAGTTGTCTTAGTTTGTGTATGCACACTCTATGATGTTCACAGTAATGGAATAACTGAATGACACATTTCTTAGACCCCATCAGTTTTTTTTTAATTTTTTTTAAAGATTTATTTATTTTACTTGAGAGTTACACAGAGAGAGGAGAGGCAGAGAGAGAGTGAGAGAGGTCTTCCATCTGATGGTTCACTCCCCAAATGGCCGCCACGGTTGGAGCTGTGCTGATCCGAAGCCAGGAGCCAGGACTTCTTCCGGGTCTCCCAGGCGGGTCAGGGGCCCAAGGACTTGGGCCATCCTCTACTGCTTTCCCAGACCACAGCAGAGAGCTGGATTGGAAGAGGAGCAGCTGGGACTAGAACTGGCACCCATATGGGATGCCGGCGCTTTAGGCCAGGACGTTAACCCGCTGCGCCACAGTGCTGGCCCTCATATCAGTTTTTAAATGACAAGTGGCTCTACTGATGTTTTAAAAAGGATTTCTTCTTGGAGGGAGGAGAAAAACTGAGTTTTTAGGAAAACACATGGCTTATCTTGAGTCAACTGCCTCAAGCAGTTTTGCCTTTAAAGGCTTTCCATATTCTAGGACCCTATCAATCCCTCACTCAGAGTGAAATAATGGATGGGGTTGCAGAGGAGGTGGAGGTGGATGGTGGCAACTACAGTCTTTTTCTCTCTCTTATAAAAATACTTATTTATGGGGCCAGTCCTGTGCCATAGCAGGTAAAGCCACCACCTGCAGTGCTGGCATCCCGTATGGGTGCCGGTTTGAGACCTGGCTGTTCCATTTCTGATCCAGCTCTGCTGTGGCCTGGGAAAGCAGTGGAAGATGGCCCTAGCCCTTGGGCCCCTGCACCCGTGTGGGAGACCTGGAAGAAGCTCCTGGCTCCTGGCTTCAGATTGGCGCAGCTCCGGCCATTGCGGCCAATTGGGGAGTAAACCAGCTGATGGGAAATCTCTCTCTCTCTCTCTTTCTTTCTTTCTTTCTCTGTGTGTGTAACTCTTTCAAAGTAAATAAATAAAACTTTAAAAAAACTTATTTATTTATTTATTTGAAAGGGAGAGTTATGGGGGGGGGGAGATATCTTCTATGCTTGTTCGTTCCCTAAATGGCTGCAATGGCCAGGGCTAGGCCAGGCCAAAGCCACTAACCTGGAACTCCATCCTGGTTTTCCATGTGGATAGCAGGGGCCCAGGTACTTGGGCCATCTTCAGCTGTTTTCTCAGGTGCATTAGCAGGGTGTTTGGTTGGAAATGGAGCATCTGGTACTTGAACTGGCACTCACTTGGGATGCTGGCATTGCAGGTGGCAGCTTAACCTGCTGTGCCACAACACCAGCCTCAGCTAGTCTCTTCTGGGTCCCAATATTATTTTGTAAGAAACAGGTATTTCAATGTCTCAGGCAACACCTAGAAACCTAGACACCCTTTTCCCAGAAGTGCAGAGCACAGGACTGGGGATAAAGAGAATCAGCCAAATGGTTTCAGGCTACAGAAATGTCAAGGCTGACTCTAGATTGCTGCAAGCCTCGAAAAGTCTCTGTGGCTTATAGCATGAAGTGAAAGTGTGAACCTTCCATTGCCCCTACCCACCCCACTCACCAATAGACCTTGAACTCTTGAAAAGTTTAGAAATTTTAGTGTTTTTGTTTTAATATACAAGTTCCTTGTAATACTTTTGTGCAAGACACAAAAGAATAATTGCCGTTCTCCTGCTCTGTTTGTTGGCTTATGTTCACTCTTCCTGAGAGCCTGAATCTAACTTCCTTCCTCTTACCATCCCTTATAGACCCCTACAGGCTTCAGACCTTACCTCAGCCCCTCTCTACCACTGAAGTAAGGCAAAAGTACTCACAGGATGTGACCATATTCTTTGAAAATACTTCTACTTTATTTTTCAAAGCATGCCAAATTCATCTTATGTACTCCTGAAGTTATATTCACTCATTCAAGATTTATTGAGCAACTACTACTTGCCAAACATTGTTCTGAATTCTGGGAGATACTCCAATGAAATAAGAACAGGCCAACTCTATTTAAACAGGAAGATCATTAGGGTCAAGGATATATATGGGCCAGGGTAAAAACGCAAATGACTCCTAACATGCCCATTCATTGGGTATTTTTAAAAATCCATATCTGCTCCTTTCCCAAAGACTACTAAAGTTGGACAATACAAAGGAAAATTGAGGCCTCAGTGTCTCTGTAACCTGACATATTGCTATTCATTCTTACCTCTGTGCCTTGGTTGCTCTTTGCTCTCCAATCTACCCTGCACTTGGGGGTGATGGGTTGGAAATTAAGGTGGAAGAGAAAATGAGAGATCCCAGTTCCATTTAATCTGGCCTGAGTTTTTTTTTTTTTCCTATGAAATGGGCTTCTGACCACTGTGCTACTTCCCTGTGATATATCCTTATAGCAAAGACTTTCCCAGGGATCAGTGACTTTAACTCATTTAATGTTACAGGCCCAGAGTACCTTTTTGAAGACTGGTTGAGATGCTGCTGCCAGCATTTAGGGGAGAGGTATTGAAGGCTTGAGGTATAAACATAGAAAAGGGAGTGATGGGTTCAAGAGACCACATAGCAACAGAACTGTCTGACTAGATGTGGAGATCAAGGTCAGGAATTCTTTTTTAAAGATTTATTAACTTATTTATTTATTTAAAAGAGAGAGAGAGAGAGAGAGAGAGAGAGAATCTCCCATCCATTGGTTCACTCTGCAAATGGCCACAACAGCTGGGGCTGGATCAGGCTGAAGCCAGGAACTTCATATGGGTCTCCTAGGTGGGTGCAGGGGCCCAGGTGCATTAGTAGGGAGCAGGGAGCTGGATCAGAAGCAGAGAAGCAGGGACTTGAATTGGTGCCCATATGGGATGCTGGCATTCAAGTAACCCAACACACCATGTTGTCTCCTAGGTCTAGGAATTCTTTTTTTTAAGATTTATTTTATTTATTTGAAAGACAAGAGTTACAGAGGGAGGTAGAGACAGAGAGGGAGGTCTTCTATCTGCTGGTTCACTCCCCAGATGGCCGCAACAGCAGGAGCTGCACCGATCCGAAGCCAGGAGCCAGGACTTCTTCCGGGTCTCCCTCGCGGGTGCAGGGGTCCAAGGACTTGGGCCATCTTCTACTGCTATACCAGGACATAGCAGAAAGCTGGATTGGAAGAGGAGCAGCTGGCCCTAGAACCGGCGCCCATATGGGATGCCAGCACTTCAGGCCAGAGCGTTAACTCACTGCGCCACAGCACCGGCAAGTCAGGGGATTCCAAGTTCTCCATGTGAGACTTGCAACCTGGCTGACTATGAGAACATAGGCCTTCCTGTTTCAAGTCCCTTAGTAACTTTATAAAATTTAGGAGGCATTTCAATCAGAAACAGACTTGATCTGTGTTCTTCTTAATTATATTTATTTGGGAGAAGAATGGAAGGGAGGAGGGAGAGAGAAAACACACTCCCATCCTTCCATCTGCCGGTTCACTCCCCAAATACCCACCACAGCAGTGCCCAAGCTGGGAGCCAGGAACTCAATCCAGGCCTCCCACATGTGTGACAGGGCCCAGATTAACTGAGCCATCATTATTCCCTACCAGAGTCTTTGTTAGCGTTAAACTGGAGTCAGGAGCTTGAGCCAGGAACTGAACCCACTGACCTGTGGGATGCAGTCATCTTAGCCACTAGGCTGAAGGCCAGCTCTGTCATTTTAAAATTGTAATGACTTGGGTGATTGGGGAATTATAAAATCACTGCATAAATTAATGTTTTCTTTTTATTACACAGCATTCCAGCGTCTTTCCATCCTCTCCCCCTTCTGGACTTTCTGATGAGCCCCAGTCTGCTTCTCCCTCACCCAGCTACATGTGGTCTTCGAGTGCACCACCCCGTTACTCTCCTCCCTACTATCCACCTTTTGAAAAGCCACCACCTTACAGTCCCTAAAGAGGAATACCTGCTCACTATTGAGATTATTGTGGCTTTTGTATTTCTGCTTTAGTGGAAGTAAGTAGGGTACAAAATTTAAAGTGACTCTTATGCATAAGGTTTTACAAATGGCCAGACAGGCTAGGGAAAGAAAGAGATGAAGCTTATTCCTTAGCACTGCAGAATCCAACACTTCAAGGAGGGCAGCTCACACTAAACAAGGCTGGGGAGCCAGCCCAGCAAGAAGCTTGTCATGTTTGGACCTGCCTTACCCTATGTTCCACCTCTGTACTGAGCAAATGTGTGGTTACCATCTATTTTAGTTTATGTAAAGGAGTGTTGTCCTCAGGCCTTTGACAGATTGCCACCCTAGCACCCTGGTGGAAGCATCTGGCTTATAAGCGCTCTTTCCCTACCACTGAAGTCAGTCTCTAAGGAACATTTCCCAGGTGATGGGGCTACCCAGTAGTTCCAATACAGAGAGTTCTGGCTAAGATTTTGTCTGCTTGTGGAAAAAAAGCTGCCCCTATCTTACTCCTTTTTTCTTTGTATTGTAAAAACAACTTTGAGACCATTCAGCTCAGTTTTTGTTACCTCCTAAAGGGAAAAGTGCAATATTCCCTTGAGTAGTAAGAGAACATGACTGATTGTTCCAGAAGCAGAGCAACATGTGATATATTTTAAGCAGATCTCAGTAAGAAATCTGACAACTTAGGAGACAGTGGTTCGATTACAAGTTGCATTATTAGAAAATTTGCTGCAGGAGATATAAATCTTATGATTGAAATTCAGTTTTAAAATGTTAGATTAGGTTCTTGGGTTGTGACATGAATTGTTACTAATTGTTGTGACTATTTAATCTTCAACTACTGTGCTTCAGCCCCAGCAAACCGCACGTATCCTGCACCTCACCCCAGAAGAATCATCTGTATTTTAATACCATTGCTCTTATTGGCCCTTTTTTCTGTTAAAACCAATCAAGATAGTGTTCAATTCAACATTATGAAAGTGTTACAATGGCACATCAAGTCTGTAAAATCTCAAATGTACCCAACGTGACAAATTCTTAGGTGTCACCATAGATTTAAAATCCATTTGGTACACTGGCCAATTTTACAATTCATTTAATTTACATAGCTTTAAACCATCAATTTGATGAGTTTAAAACACTTTAGCACCCATTCCTTCACTTTAGGATGAACACTTTCATTGTCATCTTATGTTAACCTGAGAATACATTTAAAGGAAGACTGATAATCCTACGTATAATGTAAAAATACCGGGGCTTCAGAAGGGTACTTAATTAAGACAGTTTTGCAAACACAGAACACATACTGGAAAAATTTCCAGCCAATTTTGCTACCTCCTGACTTGATGGATTTGAGGTAGCAGACAAACGCTGGTGCTCCCATCTACCTTGTAGACACCTGGCCATCAAGAATCCCCAAATCACAACAAGTGCACTCATTGTTCAATGTTTGCAAAATATCCAGTTTAATTTTCAGAATCATGTTGTCTTATCCAGATTGCAAATCTGAAAAACTATAATCCTTTTGCATTATACAAAATAACTATTATTTTTTACAGTGCTGAGCATATTCAAATTCTATTGGATTTTAATAGTGTCTAATAACCAACTTACAATACAAATATTGACTTGTTAGAATACTCAAATATATTTTTTGCTGTTTACACTTAACCTTTTGCTTTAGTGAATGTGTACATTTAGTTTTTTAAAAGGCACCATTACACAAAATACCCTACATTTATCACATTTCTTAAAATGTTAAGATTCTATAACTCATTTCTATGTATTTTTCTTACTTTACAAAATAACTTGAAACAGTATAGATTTTGTAACACTTAATTTGAGCAGCTTCTTTTTTTATTACATTGAATTATATAAAGTGCACGTTACCTTAGAAAAATATTTGCTGCTTTACTGTTTTGCAAAACATTTGCTGTAATGAAGGAATTTGTATCTCCAACATGTATTTGACTGCATTTTGTAATATTTACTGCTTAATTCCTAATTCTGCTTTAAAGTATTGAACTGGGCATGAAATATTAAAATATTAATCCAAAACTTTATGAACTGGATGTTGCTTAAAAATCTGTATCACTGCCATGTTGGAAAATTCAGACTGCTTTTGTGATGTTTCAAATTAATAAAATCATCCTCCTTATCCATTTACATGTATCCTCATGATTATCTACACAAAGTATAGAAAATTCTCTAAAGCACTGGATAGCGGCTGATTCATTTGAGTATTGTAGTTCAAGATACAATGGGAGAATGAATAATCAACATATAAAATCTAATGGAAAATTTTCCATGCTGCCATCAGAAATATAGTCTGTCTCCTGCTACAAAAAAAAAAAAAAAAAAAACCTGAAAAACAATATAAAAGCCTATGTGATTTCTGAAATAAAAGTGCACTCAAAAATTAGAATGAAAACATTTTTATTTTTGCCATAAGAAACTCTATAAACTAGTATCAGGTAATGGTTCATGAAAAGTAGAACTTAAAGTCATGACAGGAAGATTGTACAAGTATGAACAGTATTGGGGGAAATGAACAAGATTTAATATGATTTACAGAGGAGGGGAAGCCAGTGGTGTTCAGTTAGCATTTAATTCTTTAGAATATGTATGCTTTGGCAATACCTTGCTCAATGTTTACCTTTTTAAAATTTTTTGGTACCACAGGAAAAAATATGACATTTCCTCATAGGGGCTGTACATGGGGGATGTCAACACCAAAATGATAACTGCTTAAAATATATTTTAGTCTTTAAAAAATAGAAAAACAAGGAAGAAAGAAAAAGGAAAAAAAAGAACAAAAGAGGGGGGGAGCATTATGGCGTAGCAGGTAAAGCCACCACCTGTGATACTAGCATCCCATATAGACACTGGTTTGTGCCCTGGCTGCTTCACTTCTGATTCAGCTCCCTGCTAAATGGCCTGGGAAAAGCAGCAAAAGATGGCCCAACTGGTTAGGCCCCTGCACCCATGTGGGAGACACAGATGAAGCTCCTGACTCCTGGTTGCTGGCTTCTACCTGGCTCAGCCCTGGTGGTTTTGGCCATCTGGGGAGCAGAAGTGAACCAGAAGACAGAAGATCTCTTTCTCTCTCTGTCTTTAACTCTGGAGAATTTTCATTTTGTTATTTATATAACAAACTTCCTATCCTGAATATTTACCAGAAATTCAGCATTGATGCAAATTTGAAAGAAAAGCTCAAATAGCCAGAAAGCTGAGTATAAAATAGAAAAACCCCATGGCAAATTTTAAACAGCATCTTGCTACAAGTTCAATTACAATAAATACTGAAGTTCACCCCAAAGGAGTATTCCACATAAACTCTGAACTTTGGATAAGTTCTAGAAAAACTGAAGACCCTGAGATACATGCAATTAAGAGTCTTCTAGCAAAATTACAATTTAATTTTCCAGTTTTCCTCCTCCCAAAAAACTCCAGAAAATACCTTTAGTGGGCAGAGTTTAACTTTCATATTCAAAATTTACACAGAGTACAGCTGCAGCAAATAACCTTATAAATATTATTCAGAATACTTTTCCATTACAGAATTGATTCCTGGTTTGTCATAATAGGCTTGTAGAAACCGTCAACTATTATTAGGACAAATTTAATTTCCTAGCAGTGGAATCTGAGAGGTCTGGAAATTCTGCTGGCATCATTATCGTTCACACTGGCAGAAGTAATTATGTCTAACTGGTGAAACAGCATTAATGAAACATATTTCCACTGAGAACATTTCAGAGTGCACCCTGTTGTCAAAGTGTACTATTACCAGTTATCTATACACAAAGGAAATATATACTGTGACTTCAAAGACCACAGATTCTTTAAGTTATAAGGTAATTTCCAAGTTTTCCAAGGGTTATTAGTTTTACAAAATGTTTTGAAGACCTGGACTCACAGAACAGAAAACAGGTATATGAGCATTACTCTACCCCTTGGTAAGCAAAAGATTATTTATCTTTTTTCTTGTACTATTGCAAATACCAATGCCTGATCTCCTCAGCTATCAAAGTAAAAAAACTCTGAAACTATTATCTTTCAATCTAGCTTACCATCAGAATGATGTATACATGAAAAATTATTATTAAAGCTTTAAGTTCAAAGTCAAGATAGACTATTTTTTAAAACACATAGTAAGAAGAAAATATCTATGCTGAAATAAGAAATATTTAAGGTTACAAATAACTAATAACTATACACAACAATTTTTTTCTATTAATTTTTTCCCTTGTAAAACATTCATTTACAGAATTTCAACAAGTTAACTCTGTTATAAATTCTAGGCTAAGTATTTGTTCCAACCTGCTTCGTTTTAGTACTAGCTCTTCAATAAGTTTTAGCTTTATTTTCTAAATGTTTAAATATGGGTCATTTTACAAGGAAGAAAGGTGGTATTTATTGTCAAGATAAATGAGAATTGACAAGCCTATATAACATTCCATATGTAGTTTCTGATTGCTATAATATTGTAGAAATTTGCAAATGGAATGGAACTTACTTTAGTAGGGGTAAAAACCTAAACGATCTTGTGGAAAGAAAAATACTATATTACTGCTTCAACTATGTCAAATTGATAACTTCCTGGAGATTCTAAGTAATACGAACATTTAAAATATATGCCAGTAACCTCCTGCCCAAAATAAGCATCTCATCTGTAGAATCCATTGTTTATAAAACTTATACATAATTAAAAGATTTGGTGGCTTTCAGATCCAAAATTTGAAAAATGTCACAAGAATATTTTTAACCATTATGAGCAAAAAGGTAATCTGCAGTTTCATTTTGTCTTTATCATGTAAGAGCACAGAATTAAATATAAGTATGACAACAGAACTTTTCAATTTCTCCTGTCTGTATTACAGAAGTGTCTTTTTCCATTTTGTGCTTTGCAGAGATCACATTGCAGAGGTATATAGTGGTCTAGCCACCAAAGTCTTTTACAGACTGGCAATAAAAGGATTAATCTAATCTAATCTGCTAAAACTAATTTATTCTTCAGATGACAAGACTCTGGCCATTTTTATGGGAGGAGGGTGGCAGGAGGTTGTTATCCACTGAACTAGCAGAATAAACAACCAAATGGAGACTTATTCTGAAATCTTCCAGAACAATTTTAGAAGTTCTTTACTTGTTATGACAGATACAAGACACAACACCCATTTATAGTTTCAATGTTGAGAAAATTATTTCAGCAGTAAAGTGCTAACATGGAAGGGGAAAGTTATAAGATGTACTAGGTATGCTAGTAACTCCAGTTATTTTTAAAGAACATTCAGACCACTTCAAATTCTACTCAGGAAACTATCTCTCCACACTTTAAAATTTTTGTCTCTTTTAAATGAGCTGAATGCTAAATATATAAACAGATACTGGAGGAAGGGGACTTCTCAATTTCTACTCAAACTTTCAGAAAAATTTGCTTCTAAAATTATCAACAAATAATCAAACTAGACTACCTTCAGATGAAATGGCAGATCAAATTAACTTGTTTTAGCCATAATTTGTTTCACAGGTCTTTGGAAATCCCTGCCCCTGTATCCAAATCAAAACTTTCTGATATTTCAAAGTAGTTCAGTAAGATTCTGGTATTATAAATTCAAACTCAGTACTGCCATCTGTTACATTCTGTTTAAAAATTGAATCATTTTCCTGCTGAATGAAAATATCTTCCCAGGTCATTGGCTTGTTCTGAGTATTAGATGTGGTTTCCACAGGAGGTTCTTTTCCAGCATCAACTTTATACCCAATACCATCATCCTTCATTACAGGCACAGTACTTGACCTATCAGAAAGGTAGGAATATTGTCTGATCTGTAAAGACTTGCATGGATGCAAACGATAAAGCTTCGAGTCCCCAGAAGGATCTTGACTATGAACTGACTTTATGTGTGAAGACATAAACTGATAGTTGATGAAAGATTTGCCACACGCCAAACATTGATACCTTCGCTCTCCCGTGTGATGAATTTCATGCTTCGTGCGATATTCTGCAAGAGGAAACACCTTCTCACAGTAACGGCACGGATATTTCTTCTCCCAGGAATGAATGTTAAAATGTCTCCGCAAGCTTGTCAGACAGACATATGACCTTTTACAAACAATACAGATATAATAGACCCTTCCATCTACTATTAACTCATAGTGATCATCATGTTTTACTTTCATACGTTTGTTTGCTGTTTCATTGCCAGATGTTTTTGGTGTCTCATTCTCAGGTTTGGACTCTCCTTCATCTGGGTCATCTTTGACAGGGATCACTATGTCATAAGTATCTTCACCGATATTTGCATAAATCTTGCAACCATTCGATAAGCCTTCAATTTCAGTAGCTGTGTCTAAAGTAATGATCTTCTGACCCTCCATTAGATGTTTTGATCCTAAGCCTCGGTCATTAGTGAATCTAGTAATTATATCTGAAATATTTAAGGAATTGGAAAGTGGTTCTTGCAGAAGTGTAGGAACCTGCATCTTCTGTACCAACGATCCATCAAAAGTGGTATTTTGGGAGGTATCAGCCTGTGGGACCAAAGATGTATTACTGACTGCTGAGTCTGGACTGGAGCTAATAGTGTCATCATCATCATCTATTATTTCCTCCTCCTCCTCTTCACTGGCCTTCTTTCCTGTTAAAGCGGCACTGTTTGGGGTCTGCTGATTCTGCACAAGTAAATTGACTGAAGAGGACGTATGATTTGGAAGTGAAGAACTGACATTTGGTGGTGTAGTAAGTGGTGTCTGATTTAACACAATAATATTGGGAGTCAGATGTGTTGGAGCTGAAGACACCAGCAATTTTTCACTTCCCTGTGTTTGGCTCAAAGTTGCCTGATTTACAGGAGTAGGAAATTTCTGAGTAGGTGTTGTATTTGTTAAAGGGGTAGAGTTATTGTTAGTGCAAGGTACAGCATTTGAAACAGCAACAGGGCCTGGGTTAGGCTGGACCTGTGTCACGGCATTGTTATTTGACAAGGTCTCCTTTGCAGGCAAAACCTCAGAGCAGAAAATGACATCATCATCATCAGAATCAGTAACAATTATCTTTTTCATTTCATAATCTTCAGCAGATAATGAAAAAGACTCTGTTATAATAGGCATTATGGTAGCCCCATTATCTTGGGCCTCCTCTTTTGATTTTTGTATTACAAGGTTCTTATCATTAGAACCAGGAGGTATGGCTTCAGCACTGCCATCTTGAGCTGTACCTGAGATGCTTTTAACCTGTGACAATGGGACACCAAGCTCCGCTATAAATTTTACTCCTAATAACTGGCCTGACTTAATTAACTCATCAAGCAAATCTGCTCTAACACGCACAATTTTAGAGCTATAGATATAATTAAGAATTTCGGCAAAGATCTCTGCTCTTATAAAACTCAGTTCAACAACTTGCCCAGCAACGGAGAAAAGCTGATGGAAGTATGTACTGGAAGCTGAAAGAATATTCCTGTGGGCATGGAATTTTCGGTCTTCCACAATAACAGTAACATCACAGAAGAGGCCATGGCCACGTTGCTCATTCAAGGTGTTGAGAAGACTGCCGGAATATTGGATGTCTGTAGCAGAAATCAGTTTTCTACTCTCCATCCTATAAGAGAAAAGGATGAAGAGAGGATGGGAGAGGATTAGGCAGAAAAAACAAAACCACTTTATCATTCAGAATTTAAGCTATGAAATCATTAGTTTATTCAGATTTTAAATGAAATGTGGCATAACTTTTTGGCTTTTTTAGAAATTGTTCATACAAGCTGGCTTTTAGACCACGTATCAAAACTCATATCCCTGCTAAGAAGAGTCAAGTGAGAATGATTTTTTTAAAAATTTACAGAGATACAGAGATAAAGATATAGAGAGTGACAGGTGGTTTACTTCCTTAAATGCAACAGCTGAGGTTGGGCCAGACCAAAGTCAGGAGCCAGGAACTCCATCCACATCTCCCACATGGGTGGCATGGATCCAAGTACTTGAGCCATTACCTGCTGGTACACATCAGCAGGAATCAGGAGTGGAGCTGGGACTCAAACCCAGGCACTCCAATATGGGATACAGGCATCCTGAGGGACGTCTTAACCAAAAATACCCACCCTCTGAAGCTACTTTTAAAACACTATGCCAATAGGAACAATAATCTCATTGTCACCTTCCTTTGAATCCCAGATACATACATTTCCAATAACTACTTTTTAAAGATAAGAATTTTCTTAGTCCCTAATTTGGGTTTTCTCCTCAAGAAGAGATGAAAAGTTAATTTTTATCTTAAAAGTGTTTTAAGGAAAAGCTTCACCATGAACGCACAAGTTCATCTGTAAATAAAAGGTTGGTATCCAACAATGAGTCTGATATACACTTTCTAAATTTTTACTCCTATCTTTAAGATCATATTCAAAAATTACTCCCTGAAGCCAAAGACATTTACAAATACTGACAATTATCTCTCAACTTCCCGTATTTCTGCTCTTATTTAATTTGGAGTGCCTATTCTTGAAAATTGTTAAACATCTTTCCTCTTTCTTCATCTCTTTGACCCCTCCCCTCACCTCTCCACCTTTACAATTTCTAGACATAGAATGTTAAACAGAGTGCCAAGAGAAGTCAACAGATGCTATTATTCAAAAAAAGACAAAGGAAAAGGAAAGTTTACCATTTCCTAAGGCTATTTGCATGAAAACATGAAAGATTCCATTTTGTTGGTAAAGAATTATGTGTATTAGACCTTTAGTCACATCAACTGACTTAATGAAAATACAATAGAGCAGACATTATTCTAGAAAGTCAGAGGTGTCAGTAAATCACATTGCGGTGCCCCACCCCCCAAATACAATTTTTTTTTGTACTTCACATAAGATATTCCCCATAACAATGCCAGAATCAAAAAACCAACACTCACACATATTAAAAATACATATATGTATATATAGTATACTAATAATTAGCTGATAAGCACCATCAGTAAATAAATATTTCTTGTAAATATGATTTCTCTCTAAAGTTACCAAAAGACTTGAACTGTCACAGTGCTTAAGTTGGATACACATAGGAGACAGAATGCATCAAATGCCTTTTAAATTTCTTAAAATTAGAGCTTAAGAACTAAAAGCAAGAAAAAGTCTAAAAATCAAGCATTTAAAACATCATCTGTTAGGAGGTGTTGCCTGTTAAAAGTACCAAGAAATTTCAGGTTATGAAAAAGGCATTCATCAGAAAGGGCGACCTTTGGACAGCGTGCCAACAATCAGGCCTCCCGAAATACGGGGTTTCGCCAGAAGTCACTTTTAAGTGTAGAGACTGGTTTTCTGAATGCTGATCCACAATTTTTTCTATTTGCAAATGGGCTTTTCCAGTGTGGGAATGCGTCAAACGTATGCGTCCAGGTGACACCAGGACTTGGTTTCATCTTGTTTACGTGTTCCCCTCCTCCTTGTCAGGGTGGGCCCAGGGACAGCACCAGTTCCTCTTAGCAACCCACACCTTCCTGAAAATTTGCGACCTATGGAAAGCCACTCCTTGAGACAAATCCTTGACCAAGGGCTGGTTCGGAGGGGCTGGTGAAGGTGGAAAAGAGATAAAAAAGCCAGCCGCGAGGAAGTGAAACAAACCGACACGCGGTTCCCTGCAGCAGCTGAACACCTCCCTCCCCTCCATCTCTCTCGTTCCACCCCCGTCCTCTCCATTTGTACCCTGCCGGCTGCAACCGAGGTTTTTAAAGCCAATGCACGTGAAAAGCTAGCGTCTTGCAAATCCAAATGGCAGATTGAAACGGCGGGAGGAATAAGGGGTGCCAAGGAAAGTACAAAGTGGCGAATAGCAGGGTGCGGCGTTGGGGGGTTGCAGGATGAAGCGAAGCAGGCGGCATTGTTATGCCCCGAGAAAGAGCCGAAAGGGGAAGGTGGGCCTGGCAGAAAAGCTACGAATCAAAGTAGGGGCTAGGCAGAGAAAAAGGGGCCCAAAAAGGAAAGCACAGGAACGAGGGGAAAGCCCAGAAGGTCTTGGTGTTGGGCTCCCCACAGCCCCAGGGCCTACCCGGGACATAAACAGCCCCTTGGCCCCTGTCGACGAATCGGAGGGCGCCGCGGCGCTCTCGGTTCGTCCCCTTCTTCATTTCCGAGCCCGCACAAACAAAGAACCGGAGGAGCAGAGGCTCCGACTCTGTCGCTTCCTGGTTCAAGTAAGGCGACCGCAAACGCAGGCGCGGCCCAGGAACAGAGGAGGCAAGCGCACTCCCTCGCCCCCTCCCCGGATCGAGGCCGCGTCCTTACCTGCTTCCCGGCGCCGGCGCCGCCGCTTCTCCTCCTCCGGCCACGGAAGTGTGGGAGGCCTCCAACAAGAAGAAGCCGGACTCCCCGGCGATCCTACTCCTTTAAACGTCGCTCCAGTCTTGGACGACGTCCGCGCAGCTGCCGCCTCCTGCCGCCACCGCTGCTACAGCTGCCCCACGCCGCCGACAGAGGGCACAGCGATAGGGTGAAGGCCTTAAATCCCAATGGCCCCTCCTCTTCCGAGTGCAGTCCGTGGCTGTCCGGAAGGGCCGGAACCCTAGGCGCCCTACTCTGCCTCGGCTTTTTCCGTAAGGGGGCGGAGAGAGACTGGGAAGCTCTAGAAGTGTTCGGCTATTTCCGGAGAGCGAAAGGGTGGGAAAAAGCAAAGGGAAAGATCGGGTAATTCAGTCAGAACTGTTGGGGTGGAAAGGAAGCAAGTCAGTTTCCTTTAAATTCAGTATATACTTCTAGGGAATAACAAATTTTAGAGACTATAACTGCAACTTTGAATATGCTTTATTAGCCTATTATATGATAAATCATCTTAATTTTACTATTTTCAAAGATGTACTTATTTATTTGAAGGGAAGCATTACATAGAGGAGAGGGAAGAGGCAAACAGATCTTCCATCCGCTGGTTCACTCCCCAGATAGCTGCAGGGGTGTGGGGAGGTGAGGGGCAGGGGGTAGCTAGGAGTTCACTAGGAACTCCACTTGAGTCTTCCACATGGTGGCAGAGGACTAATGACTTGGGCCATCTGCTGCTGCATTCCCAGGTTCACCAGCAGGGAGCTGGGTCGGAAGTGGAGCAGCCAGGACTTTAACCAGAAGTTGTGAGTTGCAGAATTTTAAAAAACTTGGCAATACACTGTAGCTCAGTACCATGTTGAATCAAGCAACAGGATAAGTGAGTGGAGGGCAGAATATTTCTCTTTAGGTTCTTTATAGATCATACCCAAATAAAGAGGCAAATAGTAATTTTCATCTGCAACTATTAAAGCCATTCACTAACTTCATTTTCTTCCTAAAAATATGTATAATATTGGGGATTGCAGGGGCCCCCAGAAAGGAAAGAAAAAGATCAAAGAAAAAACACAGTGCAATTTTCTTGGAGCCCTGAGGGAGGGGGACATGGGAGACAGGGGAAACATTTACAATGAAAACTTGAGTGGCTTCACAGACCAGACTGAGAACTATGCACACTTCCATGCAAAAAAGGTTACTCCAATGTCAGTTCTCTTATTCGTGTAGCATGCCTCATTAGCACATAAATTGATCAATCAGGAAGAACTTCCTGCTTTAGAAACACATAAAAGTCCAAGTTAGGCAATGGCAATGTTGAGCAGGCAGCCCTCCATGACAGACCTCCCTGGCTGCCAGGGAGAGAGAATGTCACTCACTAACTCAGCACAGAAGAGAAGCAGCAGCTCAAAAGGTGGCAGAAGTCCACCAACCTGGCAGAGAGGAGAGAGCTGTGCTGCCCAACACAAAGTGCTGTGCTACCCCCAGAAGAATCCAGCAAGAAGAACTTGCCATATATCTCAAGACAAGATGAAGACCTAAGTGACTAGGAGTTGTAGACTGCTCCTGCCATTGCTCCTGTAACACTGACTCCATAACTCCTGCAGCATATTTGGAGTCTCACCTGGAATTGCTGGAGGGGTGAGTGAAAAAGCAGGCTAAGACATAGTTGCTAATCCTTACCTGTTGATTGATCTATTCTGGCCTCTTGAATGGTTAAGTTGTACTCCTCAGAAAGAGACCAATCAGAGAATCTATTTGTTTATAAAAGAGCCAGCACTTGCAGGTTCTATGGGCAACTCCTCCCTTGGAGTTCCCCTCCTGACTGCTATGGCAGGACCTTTTAATAAATCTCAATGCACTAAAAAAAAAAAAAATCTCAATGCACTTACTGTCCCTGTTTATGTGGAAATTTTTCATTGTCTTGCAACAATATTGCTTTAGTTTCCAAAAACTTGAATTTGTGCCTATTTATGTCACTTGAAATTCTTATGCTTCTTGCCTTCAAAAATCTTGCTGAAAATGTCTCAGTATATTCCAGAGTGAAACAAATTATATGGATGTCATCAGATGGGCATCCCTGATTAACATCTCAAATAACCACAACTGCTAAGGCAGGGCTGGTCCAAAGCTGGGAGATGGGAACTCAACCTAGGTCTCCCATGTGAGTAGCAGGGGCCTGGTTACTTGAACCATAACATCACCTGCTTCCTCCTGGGGTGTACATTAGCAGGAAGCTGGAACTAGAACCTGAGCACTTATATGGGATGCAGGCTTCCCACAAAGTGCCTGAACTACTAGGCCAAACACCTGCCCCCCAACTAACAGATTTTAAAGAATCTATGGGGCTGGTGTTGTGGCATAGTAGGTAAAGCTGCCACCTATGACGCCAGCATCCCATGTGGGCACCATTTCAAGTCCCCGCTGCTCCACTTCTAATCCAGCTCCCTGCTAATGGCCTGGGAAAAGCAGCAGAATATGACCCAAGTACTTGAGCCCCTGCCACCTGTGTGGGAGACCAGGATGGAGTTCCTGGTTCCTGGCTTCCACTTCACCCAGACCTGGCTGTTGCAGACATTTGGAGTGAACCAGAAGATGGAAGGTATTCTCTCTCTCTCTCTCTCTCTTTCTCTCTCTTTCTCTCTCTCTCTCTCTCTCTCTCTCTCTCTCTCTCTCTCTCTCTCTCCCTCTCCCTTTCAGATATAAATCCAAAGACAAAAACCTATATCAACATAGCGAACTGATGTGTCTCAGTAACAGGATGTTAGAAAGATCTTATTATGGTATTTGAGTATTTTGAAGGGGGATTTAAGAAAGCATGAATGAACTCCAACCCACTTGTTATCAGAAAGCAGGGCCAATTGCATGATTGTCCAGCTCAATCTTAACCCATAGGGAGAGCAGACTAGGGTGAGAATAAAGCTGTAATTGGCAAAGTGGCAGTCACCCATCTTGGCTAAGAGAGCGGGAGTTTGATGTTTTTTGGGTGTCACGGTGATCATGTATTTATCTGTTCTTTGACAAAATTACAAACTAGTCTTGTTTTGTCTCACTGAGTCAGCCTCTAAGTGGCTTTGTCTTAGGTTGGTGCTCTGTGAGTTTATGTCCAACAAGAGAATAGCATGCTTAACTCTGAATGCTTTGTCAGCTTTCTTGATGAGAGGGGCCTCCTTGACTTCCTCTCTTTCTCAAATAGTAAGTGAAAAGCCTTATAATATAAGGAACAAATGTTATAAGTGGTGGGAAAGAAGAGAGGAAGTACAACAGGGGCGATTATCCTGTCTTTAATAGAAAGTAGTCATGCACATTGATGCAGTGGCCAAGTTTACAGGAATTAAAACTGCTATTTTGGTTGGTGAAGATTCTATGCAGAAACAGCAGAGGATGCTGAATTGCCATCCAGAGATGGTCATTGCCACACCAGGCAGGCTGTGGGAGCTGATCAAAGAAAGACACTCTCATTTGAGCAACCTACTTTTTTTTTTTACATTTTTTAAACTTTAATTTAATAAATATAAATTTCCAAAGTACAGTTTATGGATTACAGTAGCTTCCTCCCCCCCCATAACTTCCCTTCCACCCTCAACCCTCCCATCTCCCGCTTCCTCTCCCATTCCATTCACATCAAGATTCATTTTCAATTATCTTTATATACAGAAGAACAATTTAGTATAAATTAAGTAAAGGTTTCAACAGTTTGCACCCACACAGAAACATAAAGTGTAAAATACTGTTTGAGTACTACTTATAGCATTAATTCACATTGTAGAACACATTAAGGATAGAGATCCTACATGAGGAGTAAGTGCACAGTGACTCCTGTTGTTGACTTAACAATTTGACACTCTTTTTATGGCATCAGTAATCACCTTAGGCTCTTGTCATGAGTTGCCAAGGCTATAGAAGCCTTTTGAGTTCACCCACTTCAATCTTATTTAAACAAGGTCCTAGTCAAAGTGGAAGTTCTCTCCTCCCTTCAGAGAAAGGTACCTCCTTCTTTGATGACCCGTTCTTTCCACTGGGATCTCACTCACAGAGATCCTTCATTTAGGTCTTCTTTTTTTTTTTCCAGAGTGTCTTGGCTTTCCATGCCTGAAATACTCTCATGGGCTTTTCAGCTAGATCCGAATGCCTTAAGGGCTGATTCTGAGGCCAGAGTGCTGTTTAGGACATCTGCCATTCTATGAGTGTGCTGTGCATCTCACTTCCCATGTTGGATCATTCTCTCCCTTTTTGATTCTATCAGCTAGTATTTGCAGACACTATTCTTGTTTATGTGATCCCTTTGGTTCTTAGTCCTATCATTATGATCAATTGTGAACAGAAATCGATCACTGGGACTAGTGAGATGGCATTGGTACATGCCACCTTGATGGGATTGTATTGGAATCCCCTGGCACATTTCTAACTCTACCATTTGGGGCAAGTCCGATTGAGCATGTCCCAAATTGCACATCTCTTCCCTCTCTTATTCCCACTCTCATATTTAACAGGGATCACTTTTCAGTTAAGTTTCAACACTTAATAATAATTGTGTGTTAATTACAGAGTTCAACTAATAGTATTAAGAAGAACAAAAAAAATTCTAAAAGGGATAAAGTATTAAGTTGCTCATCAACAGTCACGGCAAGGGCTGATCAAGTCACCATTTCTCATAGTGTCCATTTCACTTCAACAGGTTTCCTTTTTGGTGCTCAGTTAGTTGTCACCAATCAGGGAGAACATATGGTATTTGTCCCTTTGGGACTGGCTTATTTCACTCAGCATGATGTTTTCTAGATTCCTCCATTTTGTTGCAAATGACCAGATTTCATTTCTTTTTACTGCTGTATAGTATTCTATAGAGTACATATCCCATAATTTTTTTTTTTTTGACAGGCAGAGTGGACAGTGAGAGAGAGAGAGAGAGACAGAGAGAAAGGTCTTCCATTGCCGTTGGTTCACCCTCCAATGGCCGCCACGGCCGACGTGTTGTGGCCGGCGCACCACGCTGATCCAATGGCAGGAGCCAAGTACTTATCCTGGTCTCCCATGGGGTGCAGGGCCCAAGTACTTGGGCCATCCTCCACTGCACTCCCTGGCCACAGCAGAGAGCTGGCCTGGAAGAGGGGCAACTGGGACAGAATCCGGCGCCCCAACTGGGACTAGAACCCGGAGTGCTGGTGCCGCAAGGCAGAGGATCAGCCTAGTGAGCCGCGGTGCCGGCCCCATAATTTCTTTATCCAGTCTACTGCTGATGGGCATTTAGGTTGATTCCAGG